AGAGAGAGAGACAAAAAGACAGTTTGAGTGTGGCCCTGTGAGGAGAAGGCCGAGGTCTTTAGTGCCAAGAGCCAAGCTTCCAAGCCTCTCCTTAATACTTCTGCTTGTGCTCCGCCTTTGACAAGAGTGCCTTTCTGCAGCCCACCACCATTCTGCTGTTTTGTGTAGCGATTCTTGTCACATTATGAGTGAATCTGGAGAATGGAGCTCTTCAGTCCCCCACCTCTGTGGATTAAATGTCTTAATGCCAGTCTTTGTTCTCCATGTTTTGTTTTCACAGCAATGGCTTTGTTCCCAGTGACCCTGTTCCTTGTTGCTGCGCTGCTTCCATCTTTCCTGGCAAATAAGAAGATGGTAAGGTTAAGGCTGAAAGTCTTTTCAAACAACTCAGGGAACCATGAGATACAGCGCAAAAGTCCAAGGTGTTTCAGTGTCTGCTCCATCACAAAGCACTCAAGGGAAGGTCCAGGCAACTGACATATGCCCATGCAGCCCCTAGCCCCTGGTAGAAGGGAAGGCTTCTACCACTCAATACGTGCTTATCTAAATCAGCACAGATGTACATTCACAACACAGAAAAGATTTCAGAGAGAGAGAAAGAAAAATATCTCATAACAATTTGAATTTTAATGACTGTGAAACATTATTTTGGATGTATTCATTAAATAATGCAAATTATTATAGCCATCTATCTATCCTTTTTAAAATGTCCAGCATAAAATTGAAACAATATGTGGTATTTGCACCATGCTCTAATGAGATAACATAAGTCTAAGAGATAGAAGTTAATTATCCTCCTCCTGCCCCCAAAACTACTTTAATTAATTTCATTTGATCAATGTAAAATATTCTCCACAGAAAATTAATGATACGTGTATGCGTAATCTCAAATTAGCATGTCTTCTTTGTATAAACCTATATCTAATTTTTACAGTGCAAGAATAATTCTATGCTTAATTGAAAAGTGTCCTAACATCATTAAGTAGAATTTTTCCAAACTCTGCTTGTTTCTAAAATGCAGTTTTCCTCTAGTTCCAGGAACAGGATCAACCATGCTCTCTATTGAAAGGGTATGTAGTGCCCAAGGACAGTGGTCACCTTGTTCAGAGAGCTTCTGAAAGCTAGAGCCACAGGGCAGAACTGTAGGCCTCCGCACCCTGAGGTAGGCTTGGACCTATGCTAGCGAGGCTCCGAGCTTGGGTAGGATGTCATTTTGTCATACAGAAAAAGTCCTGGATACATCACAGAATCAACCTGGTTATTCCTCACCTAGAATTTCACTTGGGGAATTTGCATTCTTTCCAATTACTTTCTTACAGATTGATTTTTATGGTGCTTGCTTTTTATCTACTACCATCTGGTCTATCTCATGGTTTTATTTATAAATTAATTGGAAGTTGAATATTAAAGAAATCCAAAATCATGTTTGTGAAGCCTGACTTTGACATCTCAAACTGATCTCTCCTTCTGTTACGGAGCATAGTTTGATCAGGTTTGCTATGTAGGATTGTCATTACTTATTCAAGTGACCTACCCAATGTAAACGCTAAGCATTTTTATCTACAAACCAACTGTAGCAAGCAAAGAATAGTTACTTCTCTTTCAGGAGCTATTTTACCTCTATCTGTGAGCTCCATAAGAAATATCTGTATATATTCTTTCATAACCAGGGTAAAATGCAAAGATTGGTCATTACTGACATTGCACATCTACATCCTAGGTCTGCAGTCGGTTCCTTTACTAGGTCTCTTGGTATGAGACATTCATCAATGACCTTGTCCTTAGGGACCTAAAAAGCAATGCATCCACTAGATAATGACAACATAATGTGATCACATGTTTAAGTGCAGTGTTGGAACTCTTGAAGGGATTCGGTACCGTGGGAGTTGTGGATGAATTATCCAAAGTCTAAGACAAGTTCTGTAAGGGTCTTGCCAGTGTATACATTACTTTAAAATCTTTCTCTTCTTTATAAAACTGCATTTTTATATAAATTTAGATCAGCAAATTGCTCCTATATCTTGTGCCAACAATTCTCCTCACCCCGCACCACTCTTGAGACCCGTGCAGGGAGGGAAGTATGACCTCAGCTGGTACCATCTGAATCAAAACCTCACCAGTCAGCTTTCTCTTAGTAACAAGATAAGGTCAGCAATCATTCATTAATTGGTTGAATTCATTTCTTGAAATAGCTTGTGGGATATTTTTTGAAACATGGAGATCTGTCCTTTGAATTATTCCATAACATCAGCTACTATTGCATAAAACTCTTTTACTGGACTGCAGTCTACAAACATGCTCTTGAACTAAACACTCCTTCTCTAGTTATCCGAGGCCTTGTCAGAAGATTGTGTCCCTCACGTCTACAGCACACTGTGTATCTGTTCCTTCCCATGCCCTTGTTGTAGCCCAGTTGACTATGAAGTCTTAATGTGCCCGGTCATGCACCTTTGTCATCCAAATATATTATCACCCATACAGCACATCTAGAAAAAAACACAGTGAGACTTTCCTAAAGACCAAAATTGGCACTTGTGGCCTAAGAGAAGATATAAACATTGTCCTGCCAAGGGTTACAGGCCCATTGCCAGAGTCTCAGTTGACCACTTCTTCTATTTAAAACTCAATGCATTGGCTTAGTGCTTTTAGCAATGCTCAGCCTCCAATATTGACTTGAACTGTACACTACTTTAAACATTTGATCCTGTTTTCTTGAAATCTCAAAGATATATTTGGACTTGTGTGTGATTTTCAAATATACGAAATTATACCTACTTTTGTTTCTCCTTAGGATCGGGCATTTTCTGCTTTGTCTACCACCCTACCAGAAGTCCAAAAGGAGATTGTAAATAAGCACAATGAACTGAGGAGAGCAGTCTCTCCGAAAGCCAGCAACATGCTCAAGATGGTGAGAGCAGGCTAAGAGGGGAGGAGCCTTGGGCTACTGTGAGGGGTGCTGAGAGCAGGCAGCCAACCAGAAGCATCTGCTAAATTCTGGCTAAGACATTCTGACTTGATTGGGCATTTCATTGTTGGTCAGGGTGAAATTTTGTAGCTTCCTTTGATAGCATTTAAGTAACTTGTGAAGTCTTTGGGGCTGTTTAAATCATGCCAATAGCTCTGCAAGTCCTCAGGCTCCCCGTGAGAGGTCACTACACCCTTCTGCTCAGGGCCCTTCATGTGCTCCTCGGCCCAGGAGGCCCTCCCTGTAGCCCAGTGCCGCTCAGTGTGACTATCCATGCCCTTCTCAGGTTCCAGCACCAGTGACCACATAGACTCCAAAATTCCCAGATAGAGGAGTGAGCCATCAATAATAATATTTAGGGTAGGATGAGTGTTGCTAGCTGTTCATTGAGCCCTCTGTGCTAGTACAAGACTCAGACCACAACTGTTGGATTTTTCAGTTACTGAGTGTAGGCATACAACGGTAGTTACGGGGAACAAAAAAGGGCATCAATGTCTCTGATTTTGATTTTAAATATTGAAAAGTGCCTTTGCAGAAAGTTTATTTATTGTTCACTATCTTGTTTATGAAACATAATGAATGTATTGTGGGTGGGAAAATTGCACCTCTGTACCCCTCCCGCATCTGCCACCTGAGGTTCCCTTCCCATTTCAGCAAAGTTCATTTCCTTATTTATCATCTAGCTTTAGTTTTCTCTTCAAACTATTGATATATTGTATGGTTCTTAGAGGAGAGAAATTATGGAATTTTTAACTTTCCCTTGAATAAATTTTGCAGGGATATAAAACAACCTGTCATTTTGACTATATATTTGCTATTTTTGACTTTTCATTTATGTGAGTTACACTGATATTTTTCTTTCTCTCTCCCAGGAATGGAGTAGTGCAGCAGCAGAGAAAGCCCAAGGCTGGGCAAACCAGTGCAAACACGGCCACAGCAGTAAAGCATACCAAAAACTCAGTATGTAAATTAAACAGTATCTGTTAAATAATCATACAGCAGAATATTAAGGGTCCATTCTATGATGTTGTTTGCAAAAACTTTGTAAATAAATATTGGTCCTAAGGCTGTGTTGTTCAAGTTAAATATCTCTGACTATAGTGATAGCCATGAGAATCCCGATCTTTTTTTTCTATTTTGTAAAAGCTGCCACGTGGTGTCACCTTTGTATGTGTCAACAGCCCATGAATAAAGCCAGTGGAATCATTTCTTGTTCTTTGTTAAAGAATTAAAAACACTATCTTGAGGAAAATAATTGGTAATGAAGGTCATGTATGCAAAATTTAAAATAACACTAGATTTTTAGTTTATAATTAAAATAACCATTTCCGGGCCGGCCAAATAGCTCAGCAGATTAAAGTGCCTACAAGCAGGCACAGGAGCCTGCCATGCTGGCCCCACCTCCCAGGCGCGCTGAGACAGCAATCGAGACTGGCCATGGGGGTGCGCACCTGGAATCCCAGCTCTTGGGAGGCTGTAAACGGGAGGATCACTATGAGCCTGATCTAGTAGTGAGACCCTGAACACCCTGTAGAGCCTCCCCTAAAATACAATGCAATGCAATAAAATAAAATAAAATAATAACCACTTCTTAATATTATGTTTTATAAACTAACTTTGAAATTATAAGAATACTTTGTTTCTGAACTTTTCTTGAGCAGCATTAACACATACTTTTTTTTTTTTTAAGTTTTGATCCTAAAAAATTTTGTGTGCTCTGGGTAACTACAATGTCCATTATATTAAATAAAACTAAACTATTAAGTCTACAGTTTACATCAAAGCATATAAAAATAATGACAAAATATCATATAAATGTATAAATAGAACATGAAATAAAATATCTGATGAATTACCCAAATGCCATAAAGTGTAACCCCATTTGACAATTATAAATAACTGACCTGTTTTAAAGACAGGTCTTCATTGTTATTGATATATATATATATGATAAAATAATTGTTATAAAATCGTGACAGTAAGTTTCTATAGTCAGAAAAATAGATATAAGAAATGGTCTTTAAGATCTCAGTCTACCATAAAAATCTTTTCTTTCTTTCATTTTTAAAGAAATTATCCAAGAGTCATTTATTCTCTGCTTAAACAATATGTAGACACTGTCTTTGACACCTAACTATAAATACCATTGGCAAAACTTGAAAAAGATAGTTTGGGAATGCAAGATATTCTTTCTAATTTTTGGTGGAGGGCTTTTGGCCTGTGTTGTTTTGATTGGTTGATTAAGGAGACAACCAAAAACTTTAAAAAAAAAAAAAAAAGTACTCTCCTGGTATGGTTTATGTCATGCCTGCTATTTTAAAGAATTAGTATGATGTTTTCTCACAGATTATACAAAATAAAAATCTTTGATATTAATTCAAATTGTTATATGTGAAATTCTCTAGTAAGCGTGGGTTAGAACAGGAGAGAAATTAAAGGAGCTCGTAGGTTTCCAACCAAAGCTGAGCCAGTGCACGGCATTCGCGCTGCATGTGACAATTTTAATGTGTAAGTGAACGAGCAGACATCAGAGAAGAAAGCCAGCCTCATCCCGCGGTGGCTTTGCGCGCAGTGGCCGTGCCACGCGCCCGGCCACGCCCGCAGCTTCGGGGCTCCCAGCGGAGGAGGGCTGCCGCTCCGTCCACGTGGCCACCAGGCAGGCGTCAAGCGTGGGGACTGCGCCCGGCCCTCGGGGACCCTCCCTCGCGCGTCCGTGACCGGCCTCGTCTTTGCTCTTAGATGTGAGCTGCGGCGAGAACCTCTTCAAGTCCAACGTCCCCTTTTCGTGGTCGGCAGCGATCCAGTCTTGGTACAATGAGAACAAGGATTTTACCTTCGGTGAAGGGCCAAAACCACCCACGGCAGTGGTGGGACACTATACACAGGTAAGAGGAAAAAAAAGAGAACTAAGACCCTGTATCCTGCGTCCTAAGTAGCCTAAAAGGAAAGCGTGTCCTGATTCCAAAATGAAATTTGAGAGACGATCTTGTACATACATACAATGCTCCTGACGTTTGAGTATTGAAGCTATTATTTTTCAGTATGCTGCAGGTTTCTTGTGATGAAACATAGTCTCAATTTTTCTGATAATTGAAAGGTATAAAAGAGTGAATGCTCAGAAAAATGTAATTTTTTTATTTGATTTATTTGATTTAATAATTTAACTGCATGTAAGGCCCAGGGCAGCAAAGGGCCTTGGAGCACTGTTTTTGCAAGCTTCCTTTTCCTCCACCTGCTCGCCTGTCTTCCCTTCTCCGCCCACAGGTGGTGTGGTACTCCTCCTTTCGTGTGGGATGTGGAACAGCCTACTGTCCCAACTTCCCAAGGTTAAAATACTCCATGGTTTGCGAATACTGTCCCGCGTGAGTATGCACTTAGAAACTGCCGGCAGCCATGCCACACATAATGAGGATATATTAACAACCTATCTGTTAGCTTTAAATTCTTTTTCATGCATGAATTTTTACCACCAGTTGCAGAAGATCTCAATAAATCCATTTTCTTACATAATTCACTTTGAGACTCTAGATGAACTAGATGGCATGGAGTTCCAATTTTATTATTTATTTTCTGTTATGTATTTGGTTCAGGGTCTCACTGTGCAGTTCAGACTCGTAGTGATTCTCCTGTTTTCAGCCTTCTGAGTGCTGGGATTGCAGGCATGTGCCACCACATCTGGACTCACACCTCAGGGGCAGGGCCGGGGCAGTATGTGGGCCAGGCGATTGAACTCTGGTCCCTGCACTTGCCAAAGCAGGTGCTTAGTCCCCTGAGCTATCTCAACAGCCCCCATTGTTAAATGTATGACCTGTGAAGTCAATTTTCAGATAGGACCTATTCAGTAGAAAGAATGAAAAGACTAACAATGATTTAAGTGCCTGGTCAAAGGAAGTATTTCTGGAATTTACCTTCTGAGATGAGTGTCAGAGAGGAGAGAAAGAGAAAAAGAGAGAGAGAGAGACAGACAGACAGAGACAGAGACAGACAGGGAGAGGGAGAGGGAGGGGGAAGGAAGGAGGGAGGGAGGAGAAAGGAAGGAAGAAAGGAAGGAAGGAAGGAAGGAAGGAAGGAAG